TGATTTTTCAAAGAATGGTGTCCAATCGATCGTTTACCGTTTGGCCGAGGGGTTAACCCGACGAGACCAGACCTTAGCTCACGCTGGGATGCTGGGGTCGGCATGCTTAAGTCGGCTGAATCTGGCATAGAAGTTAAGAGTTCCTATGTGCCTGTGAGACCGAATATATCCCCACCCCCCACCCCACCCCCCACCCCAGCACCGGACGCCGATCTGAGTCTTTTTTGCGCACAGGGATGTAGCGCCGGATGATCGCTCGCAGGACCAGATGCAACAACCGAGTCATAGACGGTAACGCTCACCTTCCGACAGCGAACGACCACGCCACCGATCGCAACGCCACAGATTATACACGGTAAGCCACCAATCACGTTCATCAATCTGTATGGCACGGGCACGTTCAGCACTGGCTTCCGCGGCACAGGAAACTCGTCACCGCGACAGATGATATAGAATATCACGTGACGAGCGCCACCAGCATCGGATTACAACCGACGCGACATCCAGCACAGTATGCGACGTTGCTCGCACATGTAGAAATACGGCCTCCGGTCAGTCTAAAATATCAAGATCAATTGAGATAATACATTGGTTTTTATTTGTATTTTAAATAATTTAATACAAGCTCTTTTTCCAATATTTCCAAAGTGTTCTAAATTCACTTTGATGGCTCCAATAGCCTGAGTATTTGATATGACTCATCTACTTGGACCTATTTGAGACATTAGTAGATGTAGGATATTATAAACTAAACTTTTACCAAATAATAAACGTAAGGCGCCTACATCGGAAATGTTTACTGGACCAAATACTAAACGACATAAAGTACACCATGAGTCTTGAACTCGTACATATAGGCACATACTTACTCGATAAGTCATGACCGAAACCGTTTTACTTTGGTTTTCCGTTTTACTTTTTGGTTTTCGTCTTTACTAAACTAGATCGTATCTTAACGTACGTTCGTAGTTCTAAAAGACTACTGGGGGCGTATGTAGAAATACGG